TTTGTAGTGATTTTCATTTTCTCAGCCTCGCAGCAATTACATCCCAGTCTGAGAGACACAAGAGGAGGAGGAGGAAAACACAAACAAAAAGAGAGGGGTATTCTGCTCTGGAGTGTAAAGCTGCGTACATCTGTTGGGTTCATGGCCGCCTCTAGTGCCGCAGGTTGTGGATGAACCCACCATGAGGCGGGGGCTCCTCTTCTGGGATCTGTATCTCAGCTGCACACCTGTGCTACACCACGTTTAGATTTTAAATCCTGAAATGGTGGGTTAATTAGGAAATCTAGGTGGCGATCATCAGGAGAGACACAACAACCATTCTCAATAAAAGCATTCATTTTTCATTCCTTAAAAACTGTTCTCATTTCTTTTTAAGTATGCCACTTCCTCGTAACATTGCATATCAAAATTAAAGAGGCCCCATTATGCTTGTTTGGGTTTTCCCTTTCCTTATGTGTGTTGTATAGGTTTTTGTGCATGTAAATGGTCAGCAAAGACTAAAATCCTAATGTTTACCCTCGATTGGACACGTTTGTGTACCTCTTTAACAGAGGGATATAACTATAAGAGGTGAGGTGAGCTTTGTCTGAGTCAAACTGAGGACCTTGCAGGCCAGTATACTCCATTTGAAGTTCCTGTCAAATTGTCAAACTGTTTCCCCACACGTTTTTAAAACCGGAGGTCAGCAATATCTGCTATTTCCCTGACAATCGAAGATCTCTAACCTAACGAAGCACACCTGTCTGGAGTGTGGAGTTGAGAGAGCAGCCAGGGTTTAAACTTCCCTTACTACGATAAAAGTGAACACAGTTTGGTTTACTGTAAGAATTTTCTGCTCTTGTTAAATTGCAAATGTTCTGGTGTCACCTTGACAACTTAAATATTCCGTTGTTGTTTTCATTTATCATTCCAGTCAAGACAAACTAGAGAAACTACATAGCATACTGTTGAGCAACGTTAAGTCATAGGACTGCATTTTTATGTAACTGGCACGATTACAAATGCCAATCTGATTTCGTAGGATGGTTTCTTCCGGAACAGAACCAAGATATTTCAGTTTTGGTTTCGCTCAGGATCGAGTTTCTTACAAATGAAGAATGATTTCATCATGTTCAGTTTGAGACAACTTTTACTAAACAAAATAAGTTTAAATGTATTCATTTGAAAGTCAAGGGTTGTTCTTGCCGTAAGCAGCTGCATTTGAGTATTCATAATTATTGCTTTTTTATTTATTTTTATTTTTTTCATTTAGAACTATATTATGTAGCTATAAAAAATAGCATGTTTGCAGTTATTGAATTAAATGGAACACAGCTACATATTAACGTAATTGGTAAATGATGAAGTATAACCAACCGACTGGTTCACCTAATTTGTTGAGGTTGTTGTGCTGGCATATAGCATGCACTGTTGGAATTGTGATTAATTTCCCTCTACCATTCCCCCGGGACAGGAGGCTTTTACTCTGAAGTGCTCGGGTCAATAGCCACTGATACACATGGGTAACCTATAAATCCATCCCTGTGTCCTTTCTTTAAATAATTCATAAGGAGGTGGGTTTGGGCGCTGCATTTTGGGGGAGTTTGTCCACAAACATGGCATGTGTCTGTCCTTTAACAGATTGGAGCTTGTTTTAATGCATTCTCTTTCATCTAAATGATATGGAAACCATCTCCCAGAGGGAATTAGCAACCAGCTGAGAGCCTCTCTCCAGGGCTGATGCTAGTGTTTTCTGCTTTATTCTGAACGGGAATACCAAACAGACCAACCCTGAAAATCATTATTCACCACAGCCCCACATTAAAGGACAGAAATCCCTCAAAATCAAACAAAAGACAACAGTATTTTTGTCTCGTAAAACTCTCCGCACGTGGTATTTTTGGTATACAAGAACAGCACATTTCGGAAAACACAAAAGATGTTTCACAATGTCTGCTTTTTGCATGTGAAACTAAGGGCCAGACTCTTTGTTTTACTCAGGATTTCCTGTCTGAGGGGACAAAGCAGACATGACACAAGGAAAAGAGATGTAGCCTGTTGGTTTACAGCCAACGAGGAACAGATTCCTGTTGACACAACTTTCTGTATGAACCATGTTTGCAGTGATTATGTTACACAGGGTACTGGAAACACTGAAGACCTTTACGGTCAAAATAGGAACTCTCAGCAATTTTGTGGTAAAACGTATAGACTAAATCTTTTTACTAAACATAGATGTGGCCTCTGAACTGGATCTGGATTGATTTTCAGCCCATTGATTGCTGTTGACCCACAAACACACTGTCTAGAAAACACTCCAGTGTCTGACCCTGAATTAGGCCTGAAGCAGAAAGCCTGTTTACGTGTATTAAAGTGCTCACAACATCCATGTTTCCCCTCCTGACATCAGCTACGCAGTTATAGTTTTTTTACATTGCATCACCTGCACCTTGCATCAAGTGTAACGTGACATATTTTGTGTTTTGCTACAAGTTAAATGTTAAAGGCAACTTTTGAGAAATTAAATAACAGACTTTTCTTTTAGGTTTAAGATACGCAGCCTAATTTGATTCAGTGAGCTGCATTCATGTCTCTTTCCACTTGTTTTTGTCACAATAGCTTCTACTAACTCTCTAAATCACTGTTTAGCTAACAGTAGTTTAGCAGTTAGCAAAGGCTGCAGTTTATCAATAGCTTAGCATGTTAGCTAAATATCTATCTGACTAAACCACTGTTTAGCTAACAATAGTTTATCAGTTAGCAGAGCCTGCTATTTAGCAAAAGGGCCACTCTACCAATTTTCCAAAGGGTTGGCTCATGTCCAATGTGGCTCATGGAGGAAGTCATACCCTAAGGTCTAAACTGTAGGATCCAATGTTTTAGAGCTTAACTTAAAGGTAGGGTAGGTAAGTTTGAGAAACCGGCTCGAGATCGATAGAATTTGAAAATACACAACCGGAGAAAATCTGCCACTTCCTTATAGAGCCCCTCCTCCAACACACACGAACGCGCACATGACCAATGAGGGCACGAGATAAGTTTGTGCCCAGATGGAAGGCTGACAGGCAGGTAGGCCATCCAGTTATTTTAGCGGGGCCGGCTAAAATGATTGGTCGTACTTTTTACAGTATTACGGCTTCCACAGATGACATTTTTTTATGGATTTTTTGTCAAAGCACTTAAGATATTCATTGCTATCGGGATGTTAAGAGCATTCCATGGAATATAACAAAAAGTGTATCTCGAGCCAGTTTCTCAAACTTACCTACCCTACCTTTAAGCTAAGGCTAAAGGTCAGGATATCATGTCCTCAGCTTCTTCGGTTTTGATTATTATTTTTTGAATCCTTCCCTTGTGAGCCTTGCAACTTTCTGTAAGCGCGGTAGCCTACCCTTTTTGATTTCATGTTTTTAATGTTGTCTATGTTTTGAACAAATAGCATGCATAGCATTATCTTGATAAAGGTTTTTTTTTTTTGTTAAGTAAACAACACCATTAACTCATACCTGCACATATAAATCAATTGGGTGGATTTAATTTGCACACCTGTCACATGCCAGACTTTGATCAAGAGTCTGATCTGTTCTCAGAACCAGTCTGGCAGGAACTTGTTCTCTTGCAAAAGTGTTGAATTGTATGAACCAACATGACAACAGTATCGTATACCCTAACTGACAAATGCTCTCATTCAAATGTCTGGCAAAAAAATAAAGATGTGTGGGAAAGAAAAGGAAAAAATGCTGATGAACAACTTTTGAACACACAACAAGGCTTTTAGGAGGAGGTGGGAACACACCATGAGCTCAGGTCACACTGTCCCCAGGTTGACTGGTTGTTTAATCTCGTTTACTCGCCTTGTATGGATAAGGTTGTTAATGGCCCCTGATTGGCGAGCAGCAGCAGCGGTGTTGGAATATTCTGTGACGGTTAATAGCTTTATTGAATCGGAAGCGCTGACCCCATTAAAAGCAGCTGAACATCCCAGACTAAAGTCAACACAAAGCAGCGCTGCCTTTGCAGTTTGTCACTGTGTGAGTCAGAAAGAGAGGAAGCAGCACATGTTGCTCTCATGAGCACAAATTCAATCTGTACACTCCTGTGTCTTTGTTCTCTGTCACTCATACAATTAATGTCACCGTTTCCTCATGCCAGGCCTGCACATTACTTTTTACGTGTGATATATTTTAAGAGCTCTGTATTCATCCTGTTTTTTGCCGACCACAGCACCACACACACACACACACACACACACACACACACACACACACACACACACACACACACACACACACACACACACACACACACACACACACACACACACACACACACACACACACACACACACACACACACACACACACACCACACACACACACACACACACACACACACACACACACACACACACACACACAGGATATCATATGCCTGACTCCCCATTGTTTGGTTAGTCCAGGAAACAGGATATTCACACAGAGAGCACACGAGCTGACCACAGAGCCAAAACAGAGATTAAGTTTCATTTTTTTACTTTAAAACAGTAGACATTTTTCTCACTTACTTTCAGTTTCACTGTAATGTACCTGTCAACCACTTCACCTGTCCAAATAGAATCTATTAACAATTCTAATGTAGGTTTCTGACCAGCAAAGCATTCATGTTGACATGTCAACAGCTCCCAGCAGAAAGTAAAAGACATGATGAATGAAGGCTACCAGTTCACAGGAGGTGTGGGTCCATTTATAAACAAACAAACATTAGCAGTGTTTTGTATTGATATGGTGAAGCATAAGACAAAAGAACACCCTTTTCCCACAAAATATTGGATCAAATGGAGCAACAACGTACCAAAAATAAGCAATAAGTGCAAGTTATTTAAAATGTAAGATAACAAAACGCACCGTCAGAAAAGCTGTTACAGGTGATCACAAAACCGGATATTTTTTTTTTAAACTAACAAAAAAGAATACGATCCAACTGATTACACTGTATTTGTACGGATATGAATCGTTCCTAACCTTGTGTCTTTTGTTGTGATCAGATCGCTGCCACTTTATTGTCTGCGCGCGGAGCGGCACCGGGTCAGTCAGATAAATCCAGCTCCTCTCCTTATATGATGAGATTTACGCAGAATAAAAACAGGTTGGCAGTGGATGAAGAGTTGGTTTAGTTCATTTGCAAAGTCCAGGACGGGAAGCCTAGCGCCGTTCGGCATAATAACCTTGTCTGTTTCGCGCACTCACACAGTGTGTCAGTCCCATCCATCCACACTCCTCCTCCTCCTCCTCCTCCGCTTCACACATGCAGGATGGGACAGATGAATTTGGCGCTGCCTGTGCGCCACTGCTGGCCAGGGGGCGCTCTCTCTGCTGCAAACACTACTGATAGTGGAAATTAATTAGCTGTTTTGAATACAAAATTAAACACTCTCAAGGGTAAGGTTATCTGTTGTAAAAGATAAATGGATTTAAAACAACTGAAACAATTGTTTTACCATATCTCATCCTCAGTGTGTTAAAGCACATTTACTTTGTAGTATAGGACTATTGTCCCTACACACAAAAAGGTTTGATGAAATGTAGTATGTGTACTTTGCTTTAGTATTTTCTTTTAATTTCAACGCCGCTACGAACGATTCAAAGGGAGATATTATAATTTCTACTTTACTAAATATATTGTATAGCTTTTTACTTTTTTTGCATACAACACATACAATATGATGTGTTGTATTGAATTAAACTAACTAATAGTTTACGCAAGACAAACGTAATCAATTAGCCAATTGAGAAAAATAATTGGTATTTATAAATATCTATAATATCTATGCTATATCTATAGCATACATTTTGCTTTGACAGTTTATGTACATTTTGCTACTTACTTTTACTTAAGTAACCATTTGAATACCAGTAACAGAGTATTTTTACAGTGTGGTACTAGTACTTTCACTTGACTAAATTATCTGAATATGTTTTCCAACACAGCAAATAGGCTAACATGCACACTACGTTTAGACTTGCTCCATTTATTTATATTGTCTTTTCTTGTCAGATGCACAATGTATGTCCTGTTATAATCAAACAGAGGATGTAAGTCCAAAATTCATTCTCTTTTTGACTCTGTTTTTGGTCTCCACCACCTCAGAAAATCTATCTATCTATCTATCTATCTATCTATCTATCTATCTATCTATACCTATCTATCTATCTATCTATCCATCCATCTATCTATCTATCTATCTATCTATCCATCTATCAATATATCTATCTATCTATCTATACCTATCTATCTATCTATACCTATCTATCTATCTATCTATCTATCTATCTATCTATCTATCTATCTATCTATCTATACCTATCTATCTATCTATCTATCTATCTATCTATCTATCTATCTATCTATCTATCTATCTATACCTATCTATCTATCTATCTATCTATCTATCTATCTATCTATCTATCTATCTATCTATCTATCTATCTATCTATCTATCTATCCATCCATCCATCTATCTATCTATCTATCTATCAATATATCTATCTATCTATCTGTAAATGCTTCACTTTTGAAGTATTGAGAATGGGTTTTTTAGAACATTATTTGAAGCATTTAGACACATTGTAGATTTTCCAGTGAGTGCCCGCTGAGGGGAAGGAAAGGAGTGCCACACTGTTGTGGCTTCATGACAGGCTGAACAATGGAAAAGCTCGGTAATCCCCAGAAACTGCAGCAGCGAGGAAATGGGAGGAATGAAACTGTCCAGTTTATTGCAAACCAGTTGAACCATAGTGTCAGGGCAGCTACGAGGTGACGTTTCCCTCGACTATTTCAGCAGAAACCTTCAAGTGCAGGCAAAGGCATGAGTGTGTGTGTGGAACAAAATGCTTTCTCTAAGTCTAAATGAGTGACTCCAGGGACAGCCCCCCATCCCCCTCCCCATTTGTGAGGATTTCTGGTAGCCCGTGATTAGGCTCACCCCGGTGCCATGTGTGCACCGCCCCCCCCATCACCCCCACCCCCTACACTTGCACACCAAATCTCTGCCTGGCCTCAGCTCCCGTTGAGATTAGCCCACTAGCTATTGTTCTGATGACACTTCATATAAGCTATACTCTCATTATGTTAATACAAAGACAGCATTGCGTAACTGGGTGATTTTGAAGAATAACATATGTGTGGGGAATGTAGTGCAAAGAACACATGAAATGAAATCAAATAAGCAATACTGTTATTCACATCATGTTTAGAGTTACAATTTCTATTGTGTAGGAGGACACTAACACATGGTACATATAAGCTATCTCATTATGATAATTGAAATAGAGTATTGTGTATCTGGGTGATTTTAAAGAATAAAATATGTTTGGTATCATCTTGGAACGTAGTGCAAAAACCACATAAAATGTGAAAAATGTAATCCAAATGAGTACAATTTTAATCACATCATGTTTTGATATACATTTTCTATTTTTTAGAAGATGGGCACTGACAACACTACATGCTGTATAAGCTATACTCTCATTATGATACAGACAAAGACAGCACTGCGTAACTGGGTGATTTTGAATAACAAAATATATATATCATCTGGGAATGTTTTGCAAAGAACACATAAAATGCAAAAAAAATAAGCTTTTAAGAAAATGTCAATCAACATTCTGATGATTTTATTTGCTCAAGTTAAACAACTGACAAAACCAAATCCTGCAAACAGTCTAAATGTGTGTGTGTGTGTGTGTGTGTGTGTGTGTGTGTGTGTGTGTGTGTGTGTGTGTGTGTGTGTGTGTGTGTATTTGTGCAGAAGGAGGAAACTATGCATTTTAAAATACAAGCAGATTATGTTGTGCTTGGGAACAGATGTTAACATGGAGAGGTCTGCCCTCCTGAGAGCGGCCCCTCACTCACACACTGTCCCACCACACTCATTGGCCCGTTGTCAATGTGCATCCTGTCTCTCTTTAGAAGCACAACACTCCCTCCCCCCCCCCCCCCCCCCCCGCCCATTTCCAGGACAGATTAACTCTGCACCCCCTCTTCTTCCCATCAGCCTTGACCTTGATGGGCTGGTAATGTCATCTTCTTTTGTGCGTTGAAAGACATTGCCAACTTTCATGCTTCCCCTTTAAAGCACACTTTATGCATTCATGATATGAATAAAGAATGGATGACAATAAGAACCATCAACAATAAGTGAGCACTGACCCATCCGTCCCATCTCCGTCTTCTCAGCGGACCTCTAAGCAGGTCAGCTGTTGTTCTGCTGTCCTCCTGCCACCAGTCTTCATTGTTCTCCACAGCATGGCCACTTCAGTGTGTCTTTCGTGTTTTCCAGGTCATGGTGAAGGAATGAAATCGTCCTTGGCAGTGTGTTGCCTCCCATCCTCTGCATCTTCCTATGAAAAATGTAATAAAAGAAACTGGGGACCAGGAATACGTAAAACATTCTTGAAACAAACCATGTGTTGTTAAAATGACCGTATATGTAAAGCAATCTGTAAAATGTGCGATGACTTCACAACATTTGACTTATTTAACCTGTTTTGGTCCCAGACTGTTTATAAAAATGGAAACAAATGACAAAGTGAAACCTACCATATTGGTTTTTACGCCAAACATGTGGCCATTAAAATACATTTCTGTTTGTACATATACAAAAATAAGTGTCAGTTCATTATCTTAAAATCCCCTGAAACCCACTAAACTACTAAAAAAGTAATTACCTGTAAAAACAGGCCAGGACTTGTTGGAAAGAGGCCACATGAAGACATCTGGTTGTGAAAACTGCAGGGACTTTTGTGGAGTGTACTTCACCTCACTCAGTGCTAGATATGGAGATATACCTCCAATTTGGGTGTTGAAACTAAAATATTTAATGCGATGTCTGGAGGACTTTCCTGGAGGCTAAAGCAATTTCATTTGAATCTGAGGATCTGAAATCAAGAAAACGTACTCAACAAAAACCAAGCAGTGAATATTATTGAAGTCTAAATTATCTCTACCTGATTTGTCTCAACCTTCGATATGTATGTGTTTTAAATTGTCGTCTGTGTTTGGCAGATTAAAATGTCCTGAATGATAATATTTGTTTGTTGATTTACAATGTCCGATACCTGACTCAATAGCTTGGCAGTTTTTCGACAGCAAGGTAACTTTAAATGACGGCAGCACTGATCAAGGTTTTCTGTAGTCTGTTTACATTTTCTTTTCACATTCATTAACCAGTCTTCTAACACTTCCAGAGCCCATACCGTGTTCCCATTAGTGTTTACTTCCTGTCTGTCTTCTTCTGTTGATTTCTCTGACGTCCATGTCTGTTAACCGCTTTCTTTCTCTTGTTCTCTTTTCCTTTTTTTTTTTACTGGGGACAGTTTAGCCATCATGAATCAAATTGATATAACTGAATATAGTCCTTTGGTCCTCATAGCAACAGCCTGTTCTCCTTAGCACTGGTCTGGTTAGCAGAAAAATAACAGACCCCTTGAAAGCCCAAATCGAGATTGAGTATTCAACTAAACCGTGTAATAAAGTGAATGAATGAAATAAAGTTATGATCAGTGCATGCATGTAGATAGATAGATAGATAGATAGATAGATAGATAGATAGATAGATAGATAGATAGATAGATAGATAGATAGATAGATAGATAGATAGATAGATAGATAGATAGATAGATAGATAGATAGATAGATAGATAGATAGATAGATAGATAGATAGATAGATAGATAGATGGATAGATGGATAGATAGATAGATAGATAGATAGATAGATAGATAGATAGATAGACAGACAGATAGATAGATAGATAGATAGATAGATAGATAGATAGATAGATAGACAGACAGATAGATAGATAGATAGATAGATAGATAGATAGATAGATAGATAGATAGATAGATAGATAGATAGATAGATAGATAGATAGATAGATAGATAGATAGATGCTGCTGTAACAAAAACAATTTCCCAATTTGGGATCAATAAAGTACGATCTATCTATCTATCTATCTAGATGGATAGATAGATAGATAGATAGATAGATAGATAGATAGATGGATAGATAGATAGATAGATAGATGGATAGATAGATAGATAGATAGATAGATAGATAGATAGATAGACAGACAGATAGATAGATAGATAGATAGATAGATAGATAGATAGATAGATAGATAGATAGATAGATAGATAGATAGATAGATAGATAGATAGATAGATAGATAGATAGATAGATAGA